TAACACATGCGTCAAGTTCATGAACGTTAAATTGTTGTTTCACAATTTAAAAGATTAAACATGTTTAAGGTTTTCTTATAAATAATTTGCATTGATTACCGGGTTTGGACTTTGTTATGTGGGAATTTATGGTAATTTTAATTAAGAAAAATTATTGTAAATTACAATTAATATATAAAAATAATAATAATTAATAAAATATGCAGTAGAGTTAATATAATTTAATAATTATTTCATTGTTTGGAATAAAAACAAACTCAATTTAATAAAATTATTGTTAAATATTTGAATAAATAAGTTTTTAATTCAAAATGTTATTAATTTGTATTCAAATTGTGCATTATTATAAAAATATTTCCAAGAAATGTCCAAAACCCCCTTTTTATTTACAATCCCCTGAAAAAAGCAACTAAATTTCCCTCTCATACCTTTAAAATTTCCCCACAAACTCTTGTTAAACAAGAAAACTGTCAACTTTACACTAACAAAAACACAAATCCCGCCAAAATCTGTTGGCAACAATTATGTCTCACTTTTGTTTAAAGAATTTACTTCAACTTTATGTTGTTGTTTTCTTTCAAACTCTCTTCTTCCTTCCCCACACCAACAACAACAAGTACCCTAATAACTACACACACACAAATTCGGTAAATAGGTCTTGTGGTCTATATTTAGCCAAATGTTCTACTTCTTTATTTTACAGAAGAAGAAGAAAAATGTAAAGAAAGAAAACAAAAATAATAAGAAACCACATTTTCAGGTGAATAAACTCTTTGGGAGTAGAGTAGAGTAAAATGTGTCTGTAGAAGAGTGAAAAATTAGAGCCAGAAGCGATAGTTTATGGGTTTTTTTCCATTGACAAATGGCACAAAAGTGAGATCAGTTTACTTTTTGTTTTTAATACTATTGCGAATTAATTATTTAACTGTTGTTGTTATTGTATTTTTGCTGATAATTTATTTTGTGAGTAAAAGTTTTTAAGGTAACAGAAGTTGTAAATTAAAGATGTACATAATTTAACAAGGGTACAGTGGGGTTGGCATAAGGAAAAGGTTCTTCAATTCTAAAAGATAGACTGGATTATAGGCTTAAACTCAAGACTCGATTATAGTTGAACTAAAGAACTTTTAGGCTAAAATTGTAAACAATAGGCTTAAGCATAAGTCCATAGTTTAGACAAGAGTATCGTCTATAGTTTAGACTAGCGTCTAATCTATAGTTTGGACTATATTCTAGTCTATAGTTTAGGCTATAGTCTGGTCTATTATTTAGACTACAGTCTAGTCTATATTTACTAAAGTCAGGTCTATAGTTAGACTATAGTCTATAGTTTAGAATAGAGTCTAGTCTATAATTTAGATATTGTCTAGTCTATAGCTTAGTCTAGAGTCTAGTCTATACTTTAGACTATAGGCTGGTCTATCGTTAAGACTATAGTCTAGTCTATACTATAGTTCAGAGTCTAGTCTATAGCTTAGGCTATAGTTTAGTCCATATACTAATCTATAACCTACACTATAGTCTGGTCTATAGTTTAGACTATATTCTAGTCTATAGTTTAGACTATAGTCTAGTCTATCGTTTAGGCTATAGTTTAGTCTATAGTTTAGACTATAGTCTAGTCTATAACTTAGACTATAGTCTAGTCTATAGCTTAGACTATAGTCAAGTCTATAGCTTAGACCATAGTCTGGTCTATAGTTTAGACTATATTCTAGTCTACAGTTCAGACTATAGTCTAGTCTATCGTTTAGTCTAGAGTCTAGTCTATAGTTTAGTCTGCAGACTAGTCTATAGTTTAGACCATAGTCTGGTCTACAGTTTAGACTATATTCTAGTTTATAGATTAGACTATAGTCTAGTCTATCCTTTAGTCTAGAGTCTAGTCTATAGTTTAGACCAGAGTCTGGTCTATAGTTTAGACTATATTCTAGTCTATAGTTTAGACTACAGTCTACTTTATAGTTTAGACTATAGTCTAGTCTATCGTTTAGTCTAGAGTCTAGTCTATAGTTTAAACCAGAGCCTGGTCTATAGTCTAGACTATATTCTAGTCTATAGTCTAGTCTACAGTTAATACTATAGTCTAGTCTATAGTAAATACTATAGTTTAAACTATAACCTAGTGTATAGTTTAGACTATAATCTAGTCTATAGATTAGACTATAGTCTAGTCTATAGTTTATACTATAGTCTAGTATATAATTTAGACTATCGTCTAGTCTTCAGCATAGCCTGGAGTCTAGTCTATAGCTTAGTCTATAGTTTAGACAATATTCTATCCTATAGATTAGACTATAGTCTAGTCCATCGTTTAGTCTAGAGTCTAGTCTAAAGTTAGACCATAGTCTGGTATATAGTTAAGACTATAGTCAAGTCTATAGTTTACTCTAGTCTATAGTTTAGAGTATAGTCTGGTCTATAGTATAGTTTAGAGTCTAGTTTATAGATTAGACTATAGTCTAGTCTATAGTTTAGACTATAGTCTAGTCTATAGTTTAGACTATATTCTAGTCTATAGTTTAGACTATATTCTAGTCTATAGTTTAGACTACAGTCTACTTTATAGTTTAGACTATAGTCTGGTCTATAGTTTAGACTCTAGTCGAGTCTATCGTTTAGTCTAGAGTCTAGTCTACAGTTTAGACCATAGTCTAAACTATAGTCTAGTCTATCGTTTAGACTATAGTGTAGTCTACAGTTTAGACTATAATCTTGTCTATGGTTTAGTCTAGTCCATAGTTTAGACTATAATCTAGTCTATAGTATATAATCTAGTCTATACTATAGTCTAAGCTATAGACTAGATTCTAGTCGATATTTTAGACTATATTCTAGTCTATAGTTAAGACTATAGTCTAGTCTATCGTTTAGTCTAGAGTCTAGACTATAGGTTAGACCAGAGTCTGGTCTTTAGTTTAGACTATATTCTAGTCTATAGTTTAGACTATATTCTAGTCTATAGTTAAGACTATAGTCTAGTCTATAGTTTATACTATAGTCTAGTGTATAATTTAGACTATTGTCTAGTCTATAGCATAGTCTGGAGTCTAGTCTATAGCTTAGTCTATAGTCTAGTCTATAGTTTAGACAATATTCTAGTCTATAGTTTAGACAATATTCTAGTCTATGGTTTAGACTATGGTATAGTCTGCTCTATAGTTTAGACTATAGCCTAGTCTTTAGTTTAATCTACAGTCTAGTCTATAGTCTGGTCTATAGTTTAGACTATAGTCTATAGTTTAGACTATGGTCAACTTTATAGTTTAGTCTATAGTATAGACTATAGTCTAATCTTAGATAGTCTAAAACTATAGTCTATTCTATAGTTTAGACTATAGTCAACTCTAGTTTAGATTATAGTGAACTCTATAGTTTGGAATATAGTCAGCTCTATAGTTTAGACTATAGCCTAGTCTATAGTTTAGACTATAGTCTAGTCTATAGTTTAGATTATAGTCTAGTCTATAGTTTAGACCATAGTTTAGTCTATTGTTAAGACTAAAGTATAGTCTATAGTTTAGTCTAAATTTTAGTACAGACTTGAGTCTAGTCCTTAGTTTAGTCTATAGTTTAGTTTATTATAATCCAGTCTAAAGCTTAGACTAGAGCCTATTCTACAGTTTAGACTATAGTTTATAGTTTTTAGACATACCTAAATATATTTCAGAAATTTCCAATTATATTTCAGAAGTTTGCCATTTAGTTTCAGAAATTTTCAATTATGTTTCAGAAATGTCTATTTATATTTCAGAATTTTTTAATTATATTTCAGAATTTTTTAATTATATTTCAGAATTTTTCAATTATATTTCAGAAAATTTAAATTTAATTAAATTGTAAGTTTTAAATGTATTTCAAAAATGTTTTATGAAGATTCTTTTAAAAATTTTAAAATATTGTCGAGTTTTTTTTATAAAAATAGGTAAAATTTTTATTTTTGTTTTAAATTTGAAAAAAAAAAAAAAATTTTGAAGTTTTATAAAGTTTTTTGAAAAAAAATTGAATTTTAAGAAGAATACTTAAAGTTTTATTAAGATTTTTTTTAAGAAATTCATTTTCTTTGGATTCAATGAAAATATTTTCAAAATTATTTTTTAGAACCGGCTTTTTTACATATTTAAAGAAATTGTTATAAAAGAGTTTTTATTATTTTTTTTTAATTTAGAGAAATTGTTATAAAAGTGTCAATATTTTTTTAATTTAGAAAAATTGTTATAAAAGAGTTGTTAACTTTAGAAATTTTACAAAAATTTAGTAGAAATGGATAATTTTTTAAATTTTTTTCTTAGAAATTTGAATATTTTTCTTAAAATTTTCTTTAAAATCTTTTTATATTAATTTGTTTATATAAATTTTTAATTTATATTGTTAATTTCTTTAAAATATACCTTCTTTTATTATTATGTAATAAGAGAAAAAAAGTATTTATAAGACTTTGTATTAAAGAAAGAAAAATGAATGAAAAAAAATTATAAAAAAAATTTCAAACGCAAGCGTGAAATAACACATACACTTATACACAAGATAAGAATAAGATTTTTTTGGGATTTTTGCAAAAAAAAAAAAAAAAAAAAAAAAAACTTTACTATTAGCCTACTGTAGAAAGAGCTTTAACAAAAATTTTGCACTTTAAGGTTAAAGAGAGAAAAAGTTGGAGAAAAAAAACTACACATGTAACTAGAGAAAACAACAACAAAAACATTATACCGGGAGTTAAGTTGAAAAAAATCACCACGTTTACACTGGCCCTCAATAAGAAGAACACACACCCATTGTAACATATAGTAAAGAGTAGACATTTAAAAAGAGAGTAAATTTCAGAGCAGACAAAGAGAATGTTGGAATAAAAAAAAAGATTAACCCTACTTTTTTTTCTTATTAAGGAGAGTTACAAAAGAGTTTTAAAAGGGTTTTTTAGATTTATATAATTTTATAAATTTTTTGTTAAAAAAAATTAAATTTTAAAGATTTTTTGTAATTTTTTTTGAAACACTCACCTGAGCTTCTGGCAATTTACGCGATGTAATACGATAGATCATTGTGTTTTAAAGAATCACTTTACTTTTTTTATATAAAAAATTCCTAAAAAAATTTAAAAAAAAAATAAAAATTAAAACAATTTTATTTAAATTACACTTTTTAGCAAGAAAAATTTAATTTTAACAAAAAAACACGCGTGGTTTTTTATACAATTTAGTCTTTAACCTACAACCACCATTAAACTACTCATTTAAATGGAAGAAAAAAAAAAACAAAATTTATGCAAAACAAAAAACAAACTCTAGTTCAATTTTATTCTTTTTCCAAAACAAAAAAAAAAGGGATTTATTGTTACTTTGCAACAACACTCACACAACAACACAATACACTACACGAACGCAGTGTATATGACCAATTTGAAAAACAGGAGAGGACTTTTATTTTCTGTTACAGAAAAATCAAATTTAATGTAAAAGAAGCAAACGCCGCCGTTGAGCTCCACAAGCTGACTGAAATGTTCGGCGAAAGGCAAAACAGCAAGTACCCCCAAAAAAAAAAATGTACACAACAACCAGAAAAAGCAAAAACAACAAACACAACAACAGCAGATAAAAACACAGCAAAAACACAAAATAAAAACTACAAACACTTAGCTCCCCCAAATTGTTTTGCTTTTTAACAACAATATCAATTGTTAACAAAAACCCACAGCAACAACTACAACAACATACCACTAACTTACTCTTAAATACGGCAAAAAGTTTAAAAAAATTAACAAATTTTACATTTAATACAAATTTTATAAACAATTTCCCACAAAAAACAAATAAACTCTACTCAACAACGCTTCATATTAATGCACGCTCTCTTAAACCCTCATTACATCATGTTAATTACAACCATTACTAAACACACAAGAAAAAAAAACCAAAACCCACATAATTAAAACAACTACTCTCTTAATAAACCTAAAAATTAAAAGAGAAAGAGAACGCTCACCTAATATTAACGGAAAAACACGCGCAGCTGTTTTATTAGGTTGCCACTTTATGTGGTTTATCATCATAATATACTAAACCACTAGGTAACTCTAAAACAAGTACATAAAAGTAATGTCCAACTCAGATATTTAAAAGTAATGCCAAGTTTGTGAAAACAAACTAAACAGTTACATTTAAATACTACACATAAAAAAACTATAGTATGCCGTAAGGCGTCAGAAAAATTTAACAAAAACATGAAATTTAGTACTACAGACTACACGATAGACAAGTCCAGACCACAGATTAGACCACGGAGTGGACTATAGACTAGACTATAGACTGGACTATAGAGTACACTATAGACTGGACTATACACTAGACAAGTGATAATACTATGGACTAGACTACTAAATACACTATAGACTACACACTAGACTATAGACTAGACCATAGACTAGATTATAAACTAGACTACAGGCTAAACTATAGGCCAGCCTTTAGACTAGACTTTATATATACTTGATTATAGACCAGACTTTAGACTTAACTTTACTACACTATAGACTAGAATATAGACAAAAATATAGACTAGACTATAAACAAAACTATAGTCTAACAATAGACTAGACTATAGACTAGGCTATAAACTAGACTATAGACCACGCTATACATATACAAGGCTATAAACCTGACAATAGACTAGACTATAGACTAATTTATAAACTAGATTAGAGACTAGACTATATATTAGACTATAGACTAGACTATAGACTAGACTATAGACTAGACTATAGACTAGACTATAGACTAGACTATAGACTAGACTATAGACTAGACTATAGACTAGACTATAGACTAGACTAGACCTATAGACTAGACCTATAGGACTAGACTAGTAGACTAGACTATAGACTAGACTATAGACTAGACTATAGACTTAGGGACTATAGACTAGACTATAGAATCAGGACTATAGACCTAGACTATAGGACTAGGACTTATAGACTAGGACTCCATAGACTAGACTATAGGACTAGACTATAGACTAGACTATAGACTAGACTGATCGACTACTAGACTATAGACTAGCTATAGGACTAGGACTATAGACTAGGACTATAGAACTAGACTAGACTTAGGACTAGACAGCCTATTAGACTAGACTATTAGACTAGACTATAGACTAGACTATAGACTAGACTATAGACTAGACTATAGACTAGACTTATAGACTAGACTATGAGACTAGACTAAGACTAGACTATAGACATAGACTATTAGACTAGGACTATAGACTAGACTATAGACTAGACTATAGACTAGACTATAGACTTAGAGTGTCTACTAGACTAGACTATAGGACTAGACTATAGGACTAGAACTATAGACTTAGGACTATAGACTAGGACTATAGACTAGACTATAGACATAGGACTATAGACTAGACTATAGACTAGACTATAGACTAGACTATAGACTAGACTATAGACTAGACTATAGACTAGACTATAGACTAGACTATAGACTAGACTATAGACTAGACTGTAGACTATAGACTAGACTATAGACTAGACTATAGACTAGACTATAGACTAGACTATAGACTAGACTATAGACTAGACTATAGACTAGACTATAGACTAGACTATAGACTAGACTATAGACTAGACTATAGACTAGACTATAGACTAGACTATAGACTAGACTATAGACTAGACTATAGACTAGACTATAGACTAGACTATAGACTAGACTATAGACTAGACTATAGACTAGACTATAGACTAGACTATAGACTAGACTATAGACTAGACTATAGACTAGACTATAGACTAGACTATAGACTAGACTATAGACTAGACTATAGACTAGACTATAGACTAGACTATAGACTAGACTATAGACTAGACTATAGACTAGACTATAGATTAGACTATAGACTAGACTATAGACTAGACTATAGACTAGACTATAGACTAGACTATAGACTAGACTATAGACTAGACTATAGACTAGACTATAGACTAGACTATAGACTAACTAGACTAGACTATAGACTAGACTATAGACTAGACTATAGACTAGACTATAGACTAGACTATAGACTAGACTATAGACTAGACTATAGACTAGACTATAGACTAGACTATAGACTAGACTATAGACTAGACTATAGACTAGACTATAGACTAGACTATAGACTAGACTATAGACTAGACTATAGACTAGACTATAGACTAGACTATAGACTAGACTATAGACTAGACTATAGACTAGACTATAGACTAGACTATAGACTAGACTATAGACTAGACTATAGACTAGACTATAGACTAGACTATAGACTAGACTATAGCTAGACTATAGACTAGACTATAGGACTAGACTATAGACTAGACTATAGACTAGACTATAGACTAGACTATAGACTAGACTATAGACTAGACTATAGACTAGACTATAGACTAGACTATAGACTAGACTATGACTAGACATATAGCTAGACTATAGACTAGACTATAGACTAGACTATAGACTAGACTATAGACTAGACTATAGACTAGACTATAGACTAGACTATAGACTAGACTATAGACTAGACTATAGACTAGACTATAGACTAGACTATAGACTAGACTATAGACTAGACTATAGACTAGACTATAGACTAGACTATAGACTAGACTATAGACTAGACTATAGACTAGACTATAGACTAGACTATAGACTAGACTATAGACTAGACTATAGACTAGACTATAGACTAGACTATAGACTAGACTATAGACTAGACTATAGACTAGACTATAGACTAGACTATAGACTAGACTATAGACTAGACTATAGACTAGACTATAGACTAGACTATAGACTAGACTATATACTAGACTATAGACTAGACTATAGACTAGACTATAGACTAGACTATAGACTAGACTATAGACTAGACTATAGACTAGACTATAGACTAGACTATAGACTAGACTATAGACTATAGACTAGACTATAGACTAGACTATAGACTAGACTATAGACTAGACTATAGACTAGACTATAGACTAGACTATAGACTAGACTATAGACTAGACTATAGACTAGACTATAGACTAGACTATAGACTAGACTATAGACTAGACTATAGACTAGACTATAGACTAGACTATAGACTAGACTATAGACTAGACTATAGACTAGACTATAGACTAGACTATGGACTAAACTATAATATTTCTTATTATCTACATGTTAAAACTCTTTAACGATTTTCTTAATTTAACAGTGGCATCTCTTTATCCAAACAGAAAGACACACGAACTGGCATCACTAATAGAATGCGTAGGTGAAGTGGCAGCTCTGTTTAGTTGCTCATAGTCAAGACAACTCTGTGGCTGCAATAAAGTGCTGTCAAATTTTGTACGGTAATTTTATGGAATGATGTCTGTACTAATGGTGGTGGTAATTGCTAATAATGAGAAATATTTCTGTGTATAGGAAGGCATGCTTTTAGGCGCAAAATTAAGTTCTTTGGCGAGACAGTTTGTATTAGGAATATTTGAATGCTTTAAGGATTTGCTCATTAAATTAAGTAAATATTTGCAATTTTAATAAGAAATGTGGAATTTTTGTTTAAATTGTTTTGAATTTTTTAATGTAATTTATTAATTCATCGTATTTGTAACGAAATATGATTTTACCTAGTTTTTGTTGTGGTGTAAAAGCACCATTTTCGGAATCACAGTAGTTGCCTTTAAGTGCAACAATACTCCCCCCTTAAATACTAGTTGCTCTTATCCTTTTTGCTCAAACAGAGAAATCCCTTAAGTCTACACAATCTTCTATTAAAAATCAAACAAATCTTTCGACGAAAACAGCTGCTATTTTCAGAAGCAGATACATATGTACTACATACATATATAGATAGACGCGTGGCAAAATATACAATTTAATAATGATTCCAATTGACAGGCAAACGTAACGCACATTAAACCATTAAGGACCTATAATGAATCGAAAACAAAAGAAATGCGGGTTAAAGGATCAATCAATTAAAAATCAAATTTCCCATTTTTCTGCAATATTTTTGTTAATATTGATGAAATCTCAATTTTCAAGTAAACGAACGAAATATAAATAAAAATCTAAACAAAATTTTTAACGAATAATCGAAAACCCGGTTATTATTCATTAGCTTAATAGCATTATAGCGTTATAATTAAGCCATAATTTGATGAACAACAAGAAAATAGAATTTTTAAAGATTTTTACCGCGAATAATCGATTAATCGAATAACCGGTTTTTGTAACCGTTAAAGTAACTGCTTAAAATTAACTGTTTCTTGTTTGTAATATTATTTCAAATGAAATTAATGAATATTTTATTAACAAATTTACGATTAATAGCAAAATATCAACGATTAATCGCAAAACCGGTTATTTATTCGACGATTTTTTCAAATAAATGTTGCAATTTTGAAGCCCTAATTTGTTGAATATTAAGAATATTAAAAGTTTAACGTTTTTTTTTAAAGCGAATAATCGATTAATCGAACAACCGGTTTTTGTAGTCGTTAAAATAATCGCTTAAAATTTACTATTTCTTGCTCTTAATAATGATTT